ATCATCATACTCTATACTAAACGAGCATGCTTCTATCCGATCGAAATCAAGCACTGTTCAAACTTCAATTAGCTAAGACTGTAATTTAAGAAACAATACCTCCAAAAGAATAACAGCGTCTTCATTAGATTTGGATGCAAAGAGTTCTCCTAGCTAGGAAAGCGTACATACTGACAAAAGAACTCTACCGCTAATTTTCTCCAAATCCGAAAAGTTCAAGAGTTTTCAAAAGCACATCACCGCGATCGTGACCAAAGTTCCTCGAAACAGCCTATATTAATTGAATCTGCCGCTAACGTCTCAGCTATGTATGAAGAGACAAGATGGACTGTTGGCTTCACTAACCACCAACTAGAGCTATACTAGAAGAAGTGTAAAATTGCAAAATTTAGCGTGGTTCAAGGTAACTCATAGTCTCAAAACCGTATGTGCAAAAGAAATCGCTTCGGCTGCCAATTAAAAAACGCCTTTTGTTAGCAGGTATCTTCATGGAATTTACATCTGGAGTCTGCTAAGATAAGCCGAAAATTAGTGATTTTGGAGCGCTTTGGAAGAAACTGCAGGAGTGTTGGTCAGTTTGTAGAAACAAAGGAGAATTTTGACAGTCAAATGTTTTGGAGCTGAAGTGCTTGCACGTTTCTAAGACTTTCGTGGAGAGAAAGAGGGAGTGTTTGGATTTCTGAAATTCTCTGGAAGTTCGGAAGGTGGCTAGATATATCCAAGAATGTTGAGTTGAATTTTCTTTGACTCAATTTTGCGAAGAAATAAAAATAGCACATTCAGAGAAAGTGGAAGTTCCGCAGTAGAGGGAGACTCAATGTGAGGAGCAGGGGCCAGATGGGAACAGTCGGAATTGTACATGGCTGGGAGTTTCCTGCCGAATGTGAGAAGGACACTCCGGCATGAAGTTTTACGGCATCCGAGGGTCCTCGCAAGATGTGGGAGGGAAATTTTGGGAAGTACAGTATGTGTCAATCGTTATCAGGCGTAACGTTGGCCGAAACCGCGCACCAGCAAGAGTTCACGTTGCATTTGCGCGTTTACAGTAGTCCCGAGAGATTGAAAATGAGGCAACAACAGGGTCCAACGCGATCACCTCTAGCAAATCGCCTACTGATTCAAAACTATGACGTTGCAAAGCGCGTCATATCAGTTCTGGCCAGATTGGGATAAGGACAGACTGTGAAACGTAAGTAGCATTTTGATCACATGAGTTAGGTTCGAAAAGTGTGGATGCAAGAAAAGATGAGCAGTTGTAATTCATATCGAAACTCAAGGGATTGGAGGATAGGGGGGGGGGAGGGGAAGGAGGAGGAGAATTTGGCTCAAAAAAAACCCCAGGAAAGAACAACAATACTCAAATTTCAGAACGCAAGTTGGGTAAATTCTGGACATACGAGCGGACAACGGTGCGGATAGATGAGGCTGTGAGAATGTAGTAGAAATTTGCTGCATTTTGTTGAGGAAATTTTTAGAAACCTCCATGCAAACAAGGATTCGTGACAAATTGACTTTGATAACCTCTGGGTCGTTACGTGGCCAAAAATTTCACTCTTTACCTCGCTAAAACTTCAAAGATCTTAACTTTTAGTCACCTCCCCACTTCACGCACACAGCCAGTCCAAAGCGCCGCGAAGCGGCGCTTTGGACTGGTCTTATATATAAAGCTGAATGTCTGTTTGTCTGTCTGTATGTCTGTCTGTCTGTCTGTATGTGTGTACGTATGTTCCGAATAGAAAATTCCATTTCTGAACCGATCCGGACCAAACTTGGCACACATACACTTCGGGCTCCGGCGGGGTGTCATAGGCTACTTTTCGTCATCAATCGATATCGATTTTATCGATTTTTATCGATTTTTTGATGAGTTCACCTACGGGGCTGGAAGTTTGCACAGGGGGGTAATCGAGCATGGGGATTCCGAATACAATATTCGTTTTCAGGATTATCGATTGCTTTTATCGATTTTATCGACTTTTTGCAAAGTTTGAGCTACAGGGCTGGGAGTTTGCACAGGGGGGTAATCGAGCATGGGGATTCCGAATACAATATTCGTTTTCAGGATTATCGATTGCTTTTATTGATTTTATCGATTTTTTGCAAAATTTGAGCTACGGGGCTGGGAGTTTGCACAGGGGGTAATCGAGCATGCTGATTACGAATACAATATTAGTTCTTGAAATCGTCCATTAATTTTATCGATTTTATCGATTTTTTGCAAAGTTTGAGCTACAGGGCTGGGAGTTGGCACAGGAGGGGTAAGTGGGCATGCTGATTCCGAAAACAACACAGGGAACGGGAAAAGAACTGTAGAATTGGGCACAGGGAAAGGTTGTACAGGGATAGGGATGGGACCTTTATTACAGTATTTTCACAGGGCGGACGGAGCCGGGTAAGCAAGCTAATATCGAATATATTCGAACATTGGAAGTCGAATTTCGAATAAATATTCGAATGATTTATCGAATAACTAGAGCAACCATATCTCAAACTTGCTGACATATCTGGCTGAAGCCGATCCATTCATAATCAGCACCCTCTATCCCCTATACCAACTCCTAGCTCAAAATTTTCCGAAAATCGCTGAAATCGATAAAATAGATTCTGGTTTTGGTCAGCATCCACATTTACCCCCCCCCCCCCTCCCCTGTACCAACCCCCAGCCCCGCAGCTCAAACTTCTCCAGAAATCGATAAAATCGATAAAGTAAATTTTTATCCATAATCAGCACCCTTACTTATCCCCTTGTACCAACTCCCCCCGCAGCTCAAACTTCTCCAAAAATCGATGAAGTTGGTCGGTTGGCAACTAGTCTATACATCAGCAAGAAGTTGTATTCCACCCATTATTGGACGATCTAAAAAAGCAGTCGATATAAATTTTGATCAAAACTTATTCTAGAAGTATAGAATGGAGGGCATTTATCTTTTAAGTAAGTTGTACACGCTAAACATTTGTAGTAAGCTGGCGTTATATTTGAAGACATCTCGTAACTGGCGAATCTCGTACGGCGATCTAAACCGTCTAATCCTCCACTACAACTGCAACTCCTTTACTCAAAATGCACCAACTCGCAAAAAATCTTTAAGGTAACGAATAGAGGCAGTTGTGCAATATAACTTACTAGTTGATTTTCCCGGCTCCGCCCGGCCCTGTCATTATTATTTCGTAATAAGCATGCTCGATTACCCCCCTGTGCCAACTCCCAGCCCCGTAGCTCGAATTTTGCAAAAAATCGATAAAATCGATATCGATCGATATCCAAAAGTAGCCTATGACACCCGCCGGGGTCCGAAGTGTATGTGTGCCAAGTTTCGTCCGGATCGGTTCAGAAATGGAATTTTCTATTCGGAGCATACGTACACACAAACAGACAGACAGACATAAGACAGACAGACATACAAACAGACATTCAGCTTTATATATAAGATGCGAGCAAGACTACTCACCTAGTATGAACTTTGCGTACCTTAAGCATGAGCAATGCAAAGAAAGAAAAACAGGCATCACACTTCCGATATATGAACTTGGAACATGAGCTTGAATTTGATGTCTTCTTTGCTGATTTGGTGCCAATAGCAGTGCGAACAATCTCATTGATTGATCGAAAAAGAATTAAAACCCACATATGATTTTTTTTACTGTCGCAAGCAGTCGAAAGAATGCGACTCTACATACAGTTCAGAGGTCATAACGGTTGCAAAGGATGATTACCGAGTTTTGCGAAAAAAAAAACGCGGACGAAGTAAGCTTGATACTCAACTGTGACTACGGAGTTCATTCGAATACGACGAATAAACATTCGAATAAAACATTCGAATAAAATCTATTCGAAACCCTGTTTTTAAATTATTCGAGTTTTTGAATAATATTCGAATCCTCGTTTTTTGATTATACGAGTTTCCGAATTTTATTCGAAACCCTGTTTTTTGATTATTCGAGTTTCGAATATTCGAAAATGGAAGAACCCCGAATATCGAATTTCGAATACGAATATATTCGAATGTTTTATTCGAATGATCGAATTTCTATTCGATTCGGACCCAAGTATACAAGCCACTCTAAGTGAGACAGGGGGTCTAATAAAAGCCCAGTCATGTCATGCCTTGACTGAGAGAAAGCAGCAGGGGCGCTCGAAAAAATGTGCACCATTTATGGTAGGCGTTTTATTCTGGCGGACTCTAATATCCACCTCAAGTGAAGGGAGTCATCCAGATGCCGGCCCAAAAGTGAAGGGTGGCAGAGAAATTGCTCCATCTATCGAACTATGGTATGGAGCAAATTACCGAACGCTCTTCATTACTGTAGGATTTCCATAGGAAATTGAAGAGGGTTTTGAGCTAGGGAGGGCCATATTGTCCTCAGAAATAGAACAAGACGAGTTGGAAACTTTCAAACTAAGCTAATTAAAATTGCTGTTTCTGAGTTTGAAATTGCTTATCAAATGCTTCGTCAAAAAATTTAGCCAAGTAAGCGCCAACAATCGTTTTTTCGAAGTTCCTGAGAAATGTACACGGTCTAAAAAGCCTTAGAATCTTGCATAAAGCTGAGCATTGAGCGCGTTCATGAGGACTATGTTGTACAATCTTTCCCTTTTTTATGAAATTATCTGATACGGCAGTTTTTTCACGATGGCGGTATGTCGAATTTCCTACTGTAATCTCACGGTAACAAAGAAACTTGACTATTGAGCCTAGCGTTCATGAGAACCCTGTTGCACAAGTTTTTCTTTTTTTCATGAACTTATCTGAAACCGCAGCTTTTTCACGATGGCGCCATATGTCAAAGTTCCTACTGCAATCTCACAGTAACAAAGAACGATCCGCGGTTTGCTCCATAACGTAATTCTAACAGTAACTTGAAGCCGGCTCTGCAAAATGGTATCTAAAGCCTTTTTAAAGACTTCGACAAGAGAGCTATTAACAATTTAACAGAAGTCACATTTTCTCACGCTTATATGCCGTAGAAAGCGCTCTGTTGAGACAACTAAACAAACCCACATTATTTGCATCAAATTCTGTGCGGTCCTTGGAATAGGTGTAGTTGTGCTCGGGCAAGAAGCGATAGCTTTTTGAGCTTTGTGCTCTAAACCGCAGTCCCATTCCTGTACGAAAATAAAATTTGTTATAATTGTAACTTTCCTGCACTTTTTACATTCCACTCAAAATCGGTGAAAATGACTTCCAAACGTGATGTATTAGATTGCCCCAACTGTAATTGTGATTTTGAAAAAATCAAACTGTTTTTTTCTCCCATCAAAATTAGGGCACATTTGATAGAAGCAAGCTCCAAAAATGACCTCTTAAAGGTAGTGTCCGGGCAAAAATTCGATTTTGAGATTTTGTGCTTACTTGGGCCTATTCGCTACGCTAAATCCGAAAATGCATATTGTAGAGCGCGAAAATGGCGAAAAACGGCTCTAACACAAGAGGAAAATGAGCAGGTGGGCGGGGCCTCCCCACGCGATTTCGCGTTCCCGGCTTCCGGAGCGACCTTCTCGCTTCCGGTTTCAAGTCAATCATTCGATTTGGCCGGTAGCGATGTTAGAACGGCTAGCGGAATCGAAAAAATCGCTCCGGGAGCTGGGAGTGTGAAATCGCACTGGGGAAAGCCCCGCCCACCTGCTGATTTCCCTCCTATATTAGAGCTCTTTTTCCTTGCCACTGCCTTTAAAGGCAGCGTCCGGGCAAAAACTCGATTGTGAGATTTTGTGCTTACCCGGGCTTATTCGCTGCGCTGAATCCGAAAATCCACATTGGAGAGCGTGAAAACGACGAAAAAGGGCTCTAACACTGGAGGGAAATCAGCAAGTGGGCGGGGTCTTCCCCAATGTAAATTCACGCTCCCAGCTTCGGGGACGATCTTTTTGATTCCGGTTTCAAGTCATTCGTTTGCACTTGATCGGTAGTGATGTCAGGGCGGCCGACGTATTCGAGAAAATTGCTCTGGAAGCTGGAAGCGTGGAATCACAGTGGGGAAGACCCCGCCCACTTGCTGATTCCCCTCCAGTGTTAGAGCCGTTTTTCGTCGTTTTCGCGCTCTCCAATGTGGATTTTCGGATTCAGCATAGCGAATAGGCCCGGGTAAGCACAAAATCTCAAAATCGAGTTCTTGCCCGGACACTGCCTTTAAGATACGCCTGAGTAGTGATCTACGTAAAGCTTGGAGAAAAAATCAAAAAATAATTTTTCACCGAAAATTAAATTCCGAAGGAAGACCTTACGGACCTCGAACTAGGTCTATATACAGCAGACACATGATAGTACTCAAATATTTCTTTATTGATTCTTTTCGCCCTCTAGAAAGCGAGAAAAAAGATAGGATAAAAATGGCAAACTCTGTCCTCAGCTCCTCCTACCTATGCCGTTGCATACTACAAGCCTTAGTCAGTATGACCGTAGGGTTTTACCTCTGTCTGTGCTTTGGTAGTCGAGAAATACCAAGTTTAACATGTGAAAAAAAAATCCGAAAAAACATTTTTGCATTTTCGGATCATTTCGTTTCCTCAATTTTAAGCCTCCGAAAAAACCCACCAATTACATTTTTGTGTACTACTATGTATCTACTGTTAGAAGACCAAGTGGGAGGTTCCGTAAAAGTTTTCTGGAAGGAGATCCCATCTTTAAAATAGTTCAAAACTTGATTTTTGGACCCAAATTTTACCTGGATCACGACTTAGGGCCGCATGAGTTAACATCCCGCCGGGGAGGGGATGCTAAAAAAAGCTTTAAAAGCTTTAAAAAGCTTCATAGCTTCATCGTGAAACTCCAAATATCTAAATTCCGCGCCATATAACCTATCCGTAGATCCTCACCATCCTTCACTATGAACATATTAAACAGGAGCAAGAAGCTGTACAAGCTGCATTTTCCAGCTTTTTGTATGATCCTCTTGATCCATGGTCACCGGCCGTCTCTTCTTTAGAGTCATTTTTCCTTTTTCGAAGTGAACGAGGACCTTCCACCTTCCAAACTCAACAGTGCTTAGCACGTTTCTGACACAAACAAATGAGTTTTCGAAAAATCGTATTTTTCGATAAACCCCAACTTTCGACTTGCGGTTCATCGCAAATTTCATTATTCCAGAACATACAGTCGAGTAAATTTAGCGGTAAATATAGTGTGCTTGCACAGAAGGTGAAATGCGGTATAATTGGCGCGTGAAGAAATAGTTTCGACTGTGACGCCGGTCAATACCCGCGGTACTGACGTGGCTACTTGTTCATGCGCAAATTTCACCGCATTTCACCTTCTGTGCAAGCACACTATATTTACCGCTAAATCTACTCGACTGTAATTTGTTCTTATCAGCAGTATGCTTAGCATTGTTGGGTCAGATAATCGGTACAACTCTAGAATGTTTTGTTCGAAGAAAGAAAAATGGCTGTAAAGTAAAGTGGTTGACCCCCGGGGATAACAGGGGATCATAATCATACAGTGCTGGCCATAGCTATAAAGCCACCCTAAAAATCACTGTAATTTGCTCTCTCTTGTTCGAAATTGTCTGAAAAACCACTATTCTGTATGCAAACTGACGTCAAATCATCAACCAGGACGGCTCCCAATTTCATTGGTTTTGGCCGGAAAAAAATTGAAAAATTCGAAAAAAAGGGGTTCCCAAGGCTGGTCACAGCTATAAAGCCATTTCTCATTTCTGATCAGTACTACGTCTTTGAATCTGAAGTTTTTTGTACATATGCAACATTAAAGTATGAGACATTTGTTACTCTTGCAAGCAGTCGCCTTTTCAAAAAAGATTTATCCTGCTTTTTTTGCTTCAAAATGTATAAAAGGTTATAATGGTTGAAAAAACTGCCTCACCGAATTGTAAAGCATTTGTTTTACTCGAATGAAGGTCCTAAGCTTCGCCCAGCCTTTGCAGTGAGTATGGTGAAAAGCGCAGGAGTCAACATGGCGTAGTCGCTGGTATTGATGAACGAAGCTCAATCTTACCTAGGTGTAAACGCACTTCTGAAATGCAAATCTCGATTTCTGGCGAGCGAAAATTTGCGACTGGAAGTTGACACCTTGTTTGCATGGCGACGTACTCATGCAGAAGCTGTCAGGCTTTTTACAAAGGCGTATTTGCAGCACTGAACTTAGACCGGCTTGTGTGCAGTTCGGTGGTGCGCTGTGTATTTCACATGACTTCAAGTTTTACTGCTTTGAATTCTCTTCAAGTCAAATCTTGCAAAACTGTCAGCAATACTAGAATTTTGAAGTTTTGAGCGGTTTTCTTCTCGATCGAGAGGTCAGAGTGCGTCACGATCAGGCAGAGTGCACTACTCATTTTTGGAAAATAGGCGTTTAAGGCGGAACCAAAATCCTGAGAGTTGCGTTGATGTTCAAGCTATGCGCACAAGTCTATCGTTGTACAGGCGACGTGCTGAGCACGTGACAGAGCTTTTCGGGCATTAAAACTCAATTTCTGCGGTTCGAAAACTCGTCTACCTGAAGGTGAGGTTGAGGCTCGTTTATCATTATCAACGACTACGCCATGTTGAATTCTGCGCATTTCACCATATCATTGCAAAGGCTGGGCGAAGCCTAGGGTTTTCATTCGAGTTAAACAAATGCTTGAGAACTCGGTGAAAAGGCAGTTTTTCCAAACATTATAACTTTTTATACATTTTGAAGCAGAAAATGCAGGATGAACCTTCCTTCTGAAAAGGCGACTGCTTCCAAGTGTAGTAAACGTTCTATATTTTGATATTGCATACGTACAAAAATTTCAGCCTCAAAAAACGTAGTACTGAATGGAAATGAGAGGTGGCTTTATAGCTGTGGCCAGCCTTGGGAACCCCTTTTTCAAATGTTACAATTTTTGTCTCTCCAAAATCAATGAAATCGAGAGTCGTTCTGGTAAATGATATGACGTTAGTTTGCACACAGAAGAGAAGTTTTTTAGAGAATTTCGAGCAAGAAAGAGCAAATTACAGTGATTTTTAGAGTGGCTTTATAGCTATGGCCAGCACTGTAGAAAAAGCTGGAATATACGAGTTTTACAGCTTTTTGCCCTCGTTCAATATGTCCATAATGAAGGATGGTGTGGGAATACTTACAGATAGGTAGACAGCAAAAATCCAGATATCTGGAATTTTAGGATATGAAACCTTTTTTTGAATTGCGAGCCTCTTCCCGGCGTAGAGTCAATCCATGCGGCCTTCAGACGGATCTTTGGTGGTCATTTTGTACAGCTTGCTTCACTCTATCAAACGGTACCCTAAGTCTGCCAGGAAAACAAAAGTGAATCAATTTTTTCAAAAATATGGTTTACTTTTAGATCAACCTAATATAAGGTTCAGATTAACGTACAGTTGTGCATTATTTTTCAAAAAAAAATCAAGCTTTTTGAGGATCCATTTGCTTCACATCTACTGGTGCGAACCAGCTTGGAAAGGCCAAGCCAGGACGTTTCTAGGCTCGGCGGCGCATTCATATTTAGTCAACTCGAAATGTTTGAGTATGTGCCTCGAAAGACTCAAAACTCTGACCTAGCCTACCTGAAGTTGTGTCCCAATTGCCTAAGGGTGCACTAGCCTCAAGCAGGACGTTTCCCCAAGCAGAAATAACAAGGCCTAAGGCCTGTGGTGGGGAGAGATGTGCATAGATGGAAAAGACCTGGGGCGGTATGCATCAGTCTTCCGTTTTGAAAGCGGGCGATCATTTTCAATAGAAAAATGATTGCCCGGCGGGGTCGGCCGCAGCTTCATACATTACGGGTCGGGCGGCCAACTCGACATGATCGCCAGGTTTCAGAACGGGAGATTGATGCATACCGCCCCTGATTTATCATGCATAAGCTAATGTGCACTGGCGACAACATAGGTTGACTTTCATTCTTATGCTCACACAATATGATTTTTGTTTCCTCTCCTTGCTTTGTTTCCTCTTCACTTTGTCGCATATCTAATGTGCTCCTACAAGCGAGTATAATCATGCATAAATCAGGTTTTTGCAAGATGAGTGCGTTTTTTTTCCAAAAGTTAGGAAAAAGTTGGGTTGAAGCATAGTAATTTGACATTTTTAAGTGATTGTTACGCATATTCTTTTGAGGAGCTATGTAACAATCCCGATTTTTGTCTACCATTCAAAGTTAGAAGTT